GAATATTGTAATGTGTGTAATTTGCAGTGAACCGGATGTTTATTTAACCTTAACCGTTTGTAGGGGAGGTACCAGAAGGATCTCGTCCGATCTCTATCATCTCGTCCGACTTCTACCATCTTTATAACAAATCTTGTCTTTATGAAAATATTGAAATGTGTCAAGTCTGAATGGAATCGGATGTTAATTTCGTGTTTTTATGATCTTTATGAATATTCAAAAATTTGACCCTTTGTGAGGGATGTACCAGAAAGAGTGGACAGATACATTCCATTTTAACAACAGACCTTGGTTAATACAATTATTGCGATGTGTGCAATTTGAAGACAATCGGACTCTTGCATCACATTTTATAAGAGTTCTAATTATTCGAAATGTTGACTCTTTGTGGGGGAGGTACTTTATAGAGTTTGCCGATATTGTCCATTTTCACCCTATCCTAGCACTGACGCAAATGTTGGGATTTGCAAAGTTGGAGAAAAATCGGATTATCCGTTCCCTTTCTGTGCAGTAAAATATATATATATTTTTTAAATGTCGACCTTTTATATATAGGTATCCCTTATGAATTATTTAGCGGCATAGGTTTATTTCAAAACCATAACACAGCATAAATACTTACATTAATTTGACACTTACCAAATATGTGTCTGCCCATTTACATATTTCAGTATGTTGTCGATGTTTACCGGAGCAATAAAACTAATATTTTCAATTAAATTGCTTTGTCTCCAAAGCATGCCAGCTATCAAAATATGTGGTAGCCGTTTAAAATCTCCCAATTTGATTTGTTAATTTCCAAATAACTCATTTGCTTTTACCTTTATCTCGCCAGCCAGCAGGCAAACATCATCTTGCCAAATTTCCAATTGCAACCTGTTCGACGCATTGCAATGAGTGTTTTTTCACCCGCCGGACAGACACATATTTTTAATTTCTTTGCTCCAATTTCTGCAAAGGCAATAAATCCAAATTTAAGGCTGGCTGTTTTTTGGCCAATCAAGTTTTCCCATTTCATTGAAGAAATTTCATGTCTGGTGATGCGAGAAAAAAGGAAGAGAGCAAGAGAGAAGAACAAGCTTAATCAGTTGGGTAGCTGCATGTGGGGCGATTATGTTAACATTTACATATTCGAATTGAATTTTATGCGTCCTCCTTTATGCACCTCCGAAAACAACAGCAAGGAAAAAAACGCTTACCAGTTTATTCTTGCCAAATCTGATGCAGACGATGTTATATAACAGATTTGTTCATCTGGCGTATTTGAGAAAACGAAAGTGCAGGGAATTTGCAATGCTGACCCAATTAAAACAAGTGCGATGGTAACTAGGTTAGTAAACATATTTCAAAAGGGGGTATTTTGAAATAAAAACACATTTTGGAATTTTATGTAAATGCATATTTAATTGCAAAAACATGAATGAATATTTTGGCAAATTTTCATGAAAATTCCCGGTATATGAATTGCATTCTATTAAAATAGAGGCACCTTTAAGCTCAGGTTAATAGGTCAGAAATATATTCCTTCAATATAAATTTCTATAATCAATTTTATTATACCCTCAACCATATGGCTAGAGAGGGTATATATCATTTGATACGGTCAAAACGCGCCTAGTGAAAATAATGGTTTTAGACCCTCTTTGCACAAAATCCGTTTCAGCACATTTGAAATTGATCTAGCGATGTACGCCCGTCCGTCTGGCTGGTGCGCACGATAACTCTCGAAGGGAGTATCCGATTCGGTCCAAAACTTGGTACATTGTAAATTTTTGTCAAACTAATCCGATTTTGCTCCAACTTCGCAAATCCTAATTTTTAAAATATTTTTATTAACTCAAGGTCTAGTGTTAAGATGAAATATATCGGTCCACTCCATCATGTACCGCCCAAACAAAAGGTTCAAATTATCAAACAAAAAAAATATTCTCTGCACAGAAAGAGAAGCGATAATCCGATTTTGCTCCAACTTTGCAAATTCTAATATTTGCATGACTTCTAGGTCAAGTGCAAAGATGGTCCACTCCGTCAAGTTCCTCCCCCACAAAGGGTAACAATTTTCAATAATTATAACTTTAATAGAATGTGATGTAATAGTCCAATTATCTTTGAATTTCGCACATCTCAATATTTTTATTAACCAAAGGTCTGGCGTTAAATGGAATATATCGGTCCTCTCCTGCTGGTTCCTCCCCCACAAAGGGTCAAGGTTTTGAATAACCAAAACGATCATAAAATCTGAAACAACTTCTCTTCATATTTCGCACATCCCATTATTTCTACTAACACAAGATCTGCTGTGAAGCAGGGATATATCGTTCCACTCTTTATGGTACCTCCCCCCCAAAGGGTCAATTATTTGAATATCCATGAAGCCATGAACGCAAAATTAAGATTCGATTCCATTCAGATTTGATATATCTCAATATTTCCATCAATAGACTATCACTTATAATTATGGAAGAACTCGGAGCATTTCTTCTGGTACCACCCCCCACATAGGGTTCAAGAATTTGGAAAACAAAACGCTCAAAGAAAACAAAATAAGCATCCCACTCTCTTTAAATTTCAAACACACAAACATTTTTGATAACACTAGATCTATTGTGAAGATGGTGTATATCTGCGAACCCATTCTGACTCACCTCACCCACAAAACTTTTATGTGCCATTACTTGCAAGACAAGTCAGCGATTCTTTACAACTTTATCTATATCTAAATATTTTTTTCAAATAGAAACCTGAGATGAAAATGGAATTTATTATGTCGCGTAAAGTTCGACATATGAATGAAATTCGGACAGAGAGACAAAATTTGGCACAAAAACAAAGTTTGGCAAATTATGTTGAAACCGGTTGAGGGTGAGATGAAAAAACTGCAACCAACTTCAGACTACTGTCATTGCTAAGCCACTCGTCCGACAGCTGTTAAAATTATTCCAGCGACAGCTCCTTATGTTGTTTACAAGCGTACAAAAGCATTTTGGTGAGAATTTTCTAGAAAAAAAAGTTATTCGTGCTGGAATTCAAGCGTGATAGTGTGGTTTCTTTATATTTGGCTGGAAAACCCACAAGTGGCTATCGTTAGTGCACTCCAGCATTTAAATGTGAAAAAATCTTTTGTGTCTCGTATCATCGCTCGTTACAGTGATACTGGTAGCGTAGCCCGACGTCAAGGAAGTGGACGGAAGAAAACATCAACATCAGCAGAAATGGTTCGAAAAGTAAGGAAGCGACTTGATCGAAACCCTCGTCACAGTGGCCGAAAAATTGCTCGTGAGCTGAACATATCGCAATATTCCATTCGGCAGATATTGAAAAATGAGCTCGGGGAAAAGCCATTGAAATTTAAAAAAGTGCAAGAACTTACACCGCAACAGAAAGAAAATAGACTCAAAAGAGCTAAAGAGTTGTTTCGCTTGGCCGTTTCCGATAAGAAAACATTCGTTGCCCAGCAGTGTGTAAACAAACACAATGATCGTGTTTACTTGCCAAAAAGGTCAGCTCAAAAATGTGCACCTTCCACCAGAACTCAAGCGCCGGCCATGGTGATGGTGTAGGCCGCCACAACAGCCGATAGTCGCTCTCCGCTCGTATTAAATGGCCGTGGCTTCAGAATAAATGCCGAAGATTATCGCGAAAATATTCTGGATGGTGTATTAAAGCATGCAAACATTTTGATCGCAGACCTTGGACATTCCAACAGGATTCAGCACCATCGCACTCAGCCTGCGCCACGCAAAAATGGTTCCAAATGAGGTTTCTCGCTTTATTTTCAGCGCACAATCCGTTGGACTATTGTGTCTGGAGTATTTTGGAAAGCAAGGTTGGTCCTAAAAACTACCAAATTGTCAATCACCTCAAGCAAGCGTTTCGCCGGGAATGGGCCAAAATACCGCAGAGCAACATTCGGGCAGCGTATGACGGTTTCATTGGCCGTTTAAAGGCCAGTATTCGTGCCAAAGGTGACCAATTCGAACAAATCTAAACTTATTCTAAAATATGATGCTATTTCTGACATTTTTGCTTTCATTCAATAAAATTAAAAAAATTAAAAAAAAAAATAAAGAATCAGTAAGTTCGGCCGGGCCGAACTTTGAATGCCCTCCACCATTTGGTACAAATTTGGCTATTTTCAATTTTTTTATTTATTTGTTTTTTTTTTTTTTCAAAAAATAAAATCAGTTAAAAATTCTATTAAAATCTTGAAAATAGCGAATGTAGCCGTATATTAGGGTCTATACGATGACGTGGACCTGAATGGGTAACTTTTGTCACAAGCTATTACAATATTCAAATGCGAAACTTGAAAAAAATCTGTTTATAATGTAGCTAAAATCATCAAAATACCGAATATAGGGAGGTACCATGGGCGTTAAAAAACGTGGACCTGCACAGACAATTTTCTGGCATAGGCTATAGTATTCATTACGAACTTCAAATTTGAAACAATTCCGATGAATAATGTCGCTAAAATCATCAAAATACCGAATATCGGAAGGTACCGTTATGTGGGGGCTATACGAAGACGTGGACCTACATGGCCCATTTTCAATACCAAAAGTCCTGCAGACATAATACACATTTGAGTAAAATTTTATCAACATACTTCATTTCGTTCGAGCGATTTCCACAGACGGTCGGACGGACGGACATTGCTAAAATAGAATTTTATGCTGATCAAGAATATATATACTTTGTGGGGTCTAAAATCTATATTTCGAGATGTTACAAACGGAATGGCAAATTTAATATACCCTTCATACTATGGTGGAGAGTATAAAAACCACTTCGTGTATGCGGACTAAATTTGGTATGTTTCTGCTTTTCTCATGGTCAGCTGTTCCTGGCATATTCACGCGTTGGTAGACCGAGCTATTTGTTTGTTTACGCATTAAAGTGTTACAATAATTACGTTTTTAAAATTTGTATTTATTATTTTTTAAACCAACAAATATTCCCATATAAAATTTTGAATTTATTTAAAATCAAAAGGGGTGGCGAAGCGCACGGGGTTCAGCTAGTTATTACATAAAGGAGGTTAAAAGCGTGACTTGTTTCACATTGTAACAACATTTCATTTGATTTAATTAAATTATAACATTGCCTTGCTTCGATTGACCATTTCATTAAACCACTAATGAAAAAATCCCTTTTTAAATCATCTGAAACGAAACATAGTGTTCATTTAACAATAACCACAATTTTTAATGTTAACAATCAATAAAAACAGAAACAAAAACAACAATAACACCATGTATGATTATTGCTCCAACGAGGTGGTTATGGACTACAGCGCACTCAAACAATGTTCTTAAAATGCAATTAAAATTGTACAATTGATATAATAAATTAATAACACATACGCGGTGTCCAATTGTCTTTTTTCTGAAATGCCCCCAGAGAAGCAGTTCAATATCAATCCAAGAATCGTTAGAAAACAATAAAAAATCTTGTATTGGAAGAATTCCTATGCTACCTGGATGTGGACACCAATTATAAAAATGTTAAATTTGGTTGAGAGGGAAATACCATTTAAATAGAGTATTTTGTTTAGCACTAATGGGGTTAATTGTTAAGGTTAATGTTATTCATTAATCTAATATCAAATAATTATGTATATTTTTTATAAAAGCTGGTAGTTTTTTTTTTTTTTTTTCTAATTTGTCGAATGATGTTAATGTCATGTCCCAGTATTTGTTTATGCTGGTTGGCGTATTTTTTCGATAATGCTAATTAATTCATATAAATATTTAAAAAATCGTAAGAAAATTATGATGGTTGGTTGCACAGGGGCCGGCAATATTATATTCTACATAAGGGGTTGGCAACTCATGCATATGTTTTCGCATACGACGAATTTGAAAGAATCACTTGCTTCCCCGGTGATATTCATGCGTAAAATCATACAAAAACTAAGTCATAAATTCTGTTCTGCAAGGAAGCCAACAAAATAATTAGTCATTTCCAAAAAATTTACAAGAAAATCTAGTTAAAGAGTATCAGTCGGTTTTGTCGACTGAGCCATGAGTTATGGTTGTTTTAAGCATTGCTCCTTTATATGAGAGGTTTCGCAGCAGTTGACCAATATTGTTCAATTTATATCTGACTTAAGTCATATTTTGGATATATCGAATGTTGGAAAACTGTGTGAGGTACCAGATATGGTGGACTGATATATTTCACTTCATCTAATATAGACAAAAATATTGGTATGCGCAACATTTAAAGGAAATCGAACATTATACGAAATCATAAATTCCGATAAACTACATATATGTAGTATGAATATATTCATATCAGATTTCTGGTTAAGAGAAATATGCTTATTACGGATTTTGTTAATTCCAAATTTTGACCCTTTGTAGGGGAGGTATGAGAAAGAATGAAACGATCTTTACCGTCTTAATAACGGATCTTGCGTTAATGGAAATATTGAGACGTGCCAAGTTTAAATAGAATCGGATGTTAATTTCGTGTTTTTATGAGCTTGACGAATATTTAAAATTGTGACATTTTTTGAGGTAGGCACCAGAAGGAGTAGACCGTTACAATTCATCTTCACGCCAGACCTTGGATTAATACAAATTTTGTGATGTGTGTATTTTGAAGACAATCGGACCCTTACATCACATTTTACAAAAGTTATAATTATTTCAAATTTTGACACTTTGTAGGGAAGGTACTTGATGGAGTGAACTGATATTGTCCATTTTCGCACCTGACCTAGCACTGATGCAAATATTAGGATTTACAAAGTTGGAGCATAATCGGATTATCTTTTCTTTGCAGTAAATTATTTTCTTTGAAAATGTTGACGTTTTGTGTGGAACGTACCAGAAGAAGTGGGCCGACATTGCCCATCTCCGAACTCTTTGACAATAATACTACGATGAACCAAGTTTGGATCAAATCGTATACTCCCTTCAAGAGTTATGGTGAGCACCAGTCAGCCACACAGACAGATGGACAGAGGGACGGACATCGCTAGATCGACTCCAAGTGTCCTGAAATGGATTTGGTCCAAAAAGAAATAGGAAATAGGTTAAAACCATTATTGCGATGAGGTACGTTTTGGCCGTCTCAAATGATATACAGGATGAGATGAAAAAACTGCAACCAACTTCAGACTGCTGCCATTTCCAAGCCACTCGTGCGACAGCTGTTAAAATTATTCAAGTGACTGCTCATTATATTGTCTATAAGCGTACCAAAGCATTTTGGTGAAAATTTTCCAGAAAAAAAAAAGTTATTCGTTATGGAATTCAAGCGGGATAGTGTGATTTTTTTATTTTTGGCTGAAAAACCACAAATAGCTATCGTTAGAGCACTCCAGCTTTTAAATGTGAACCAATCTTTTGTGTCTCGCACCATCGCTCGTTACCGTGATACTGGTAGCGTAGCCTGACGTCAAGGAACTGGACGAAAGAAAACAGTAACATCAGCAGAAATGGTTCGAAAAGTAAAAAGGCGACTTGATCCAAACCCGCGTCGCAGTGGCCGAAAAATGGCCCCTGAGCTGAATATATCGCAATATTCCATTCGGCAAAATTTTGAAAAATGAGCTCGGGGTAAAGCCATTGAAATTCCAAAAAGTGCAGGAACTTACACCGCAACAGAAAGAAAATAGACTCAAAAGAGCTAAAGAGTTGCTTCGCTTCGCCGAAAGTGGTGAACTGCCGAATTAGGTTTTCTTCGATGAGAAAACATTTGATGTCCAGCAGTTTGTAAACAAACAAAATGATCGTGTTTGCTACCCAAAGAGGTCAGCTGAAAATGTGCACCTTCGATTGGCCACCAAAACTCAAGCGCCGGCCATGGTGATCGTGTGGGCCGCCATAACAGCCGATGGTCGTTCTCCGCTCGTATTAATCGACCGTGGCATCAGAATTAATGCCAAATATTATCGCGAAACTATTCTGGAGAGTGAATTAAAGCCTTTGGCACGCAAATATTTTGGCCGCAGACCTTATACACTCGAACAGGACTCAGCACCATCGCACTCATCACGCGCCACCCAAGAATGGTTAGAAAATGAGGTTCCTCGCTCCAATTCCACACAATGGTCACAAAAATCTCCGGATACTAATCCGTGGGACTATTGTGTCTGGAGTATTTTGGAAAGCAAGGTTGACACTTAAAAAATACCAAAGTGTCGATCACCTCAAGCAAGCGCTTCGCCGGGAATGGGCCAAAATACCGTAGAGCAACATTCGGGTAGCGTGAGATGGTTTCATTGGCCGTTTGAAGACCATAATTCGAGCCACAGGTGACCAATTCGAACAAATCTAATCTTATTCTAAAATCTATTGCTATTTCCGATATTTTTTGGTTTCATTTAATAAAATTAAAAAAAAATGAAAAATTATGGTGTTTGACTTTGTTGCAGTTTTTTATCTCACCCTGTATAGTATTTTTCCTATGGAGAAAGCCCAAGAAGGTTTTCTGTAAATTAAGGGAAGCTATTTAAGGATCTTCTATGGATTGATCGTTAGATGAAATCATTTTTAAAAAAGTAATTTAGAAAGTCAAGAACTCATTCAAAGGTTGTGTATAGCTACAATCCTTAAAAAATACTCTATGGAAGTATAAGTCCTTAGAAGCTTTTTTAAAGTCTTATATGGGATAGAAACCCTTCATGGGACCCTGTAAGTGTCCTATTTGGTATGAGCACTTAAAGGATTGTATATCTTATTTAAACTCTTGTAGACATTTTGTAGGACATTTGTATCGGTTCTGTATACAAAAGCCTTTTAAAAGTCTTCATCTTTAACTAAAAGCCCTTCTGAAAGTCTTTATAAAAGCAATGGATATAAAATATATTTAACTATCATAAACGGGAACGGTTTTAAAGATTTTTGTTACATTTTCCAACTTGTCTTTTGAAAATTTACCAAGAATTCCCATATCCGATTTACATTCACAAAATGAATGATTCATTCCCATGTACCCCTATCTATAATTTGGAAGCTAAAAGAGCAAAAAAATGGACGGGCAATTTTTGTATTCTTTTGATTTTGGATTAATTGATTTCATCAAACCTCATTTTCCTTCAAACCTTTCCCTCTCTCTCATTCTCTCTTTTACCTTAATGTCAACCAAAATTTCCACATTTAAATTCTCCTAACATCCTGTTAAAGTTGTTCACCTTTCTGCAATTATTTATCGGATAAAACAAATTAAATACATTTTATACAAAAAAGATATGATTTGTCATATCACAATATGTCATTTACTCTTTACAAAGTCTTAAAAGATTAAATTCCCAGCAGTCACAACAACGGCTCGAATGTGCCAACCATATTTTCTACTTTGAGAATTATTTTATTTTACACGTCATTTTCAGTTCCAGTTCCAATCCCAACAACAGACGACAGACACCCCACCCACATTCAGTTGTGTGGCTGGATAATCTCGACTATGTCATGATCGCATTTGATAGCATCGCAGATTATTAAATGGAGCCACTCAATCACGTGCGACCTGAAAATTAGTTACAATTTTCAAAATTGTCATAATTCATTCATTCATTCACTCAATCAAGAGATGCTATCGTTCTGCGTCGTTGCTCTTTTGATATATGTCAAGAAATGTTACATCAACTTGATGTGTTTTTGTTTGTTTTTAATCCATGGAAACATCTTGGAAATCCGTTTTTGAAAAAAAAAATGTTTAAGTGGTTGGGGGTGGAAAATGGAACCCAACCAAGCAAACTAAATATTAATGCGGATTTTTTTATTTTTAATTAATACGAGAATGCAATTTGGCTTTTACGGATTTTGAGTTACACACGATTTATTTTCTGTGCAATCTCGTCGAAGTGAACAAGAAACAAATCTCGCCGATGGTTTGTTTGATTTGTTTACAACCTGCCACTTATCATTCTGTCAGTGCAACATCATAAATTCTGCCATGAGACTGCCGCCTGTGGCGGTCTACGATGGTATGATCGGTACGCAAGGCAATGGCAATAGCTACCTCCGTGATTGGCTGTAAAACTATTCTTTATTCTCCAGCTAAGCTGTTAAGCTTCTTAACCACAACAATGCTTCGCGGTAACTGTGGGTGTTATTTTCTATGGGTTTTCATCTTCTTCACCGCAATCACCATCGCCGTCATGTTATTGTGAAAAGCAACAGTCAAAGTGATGTTTTAGTTTGAAGTT